TTGCTGTTCATTTTCATGGTTCTGCTAAAAGGAATCGATTTAACCTGGAGTTCACTTGCAGGCTCTGTAACTCCTGCCATACAAAGTCTCCTTGTTGAGCAGTAAGACATATTCTTATTACTGTCCATATTGGGTTTGTAGCAGATATTAAATTATTTATATTTCAGAATAGTAAGACCCTCATTTAGCTCTAGACCATTCTTCCCTGGCAAATGCAACACTGATGTAGACCATACATTAAATACATTGTCACTACTTTTAATAAAATGCAAAAGTTAACATTAGGAAATGAAAGGTAAGTCATTGTTTGTAGCAGTCAGAACAAGAGTAGTGGAATAGTTAAAGGGGTAAATACAATCACCATGCATCTAATAAGTCATTTTTCATCATTTTTCAGAGAGATTTGTTAACAACCAAAATTTCAGAGCATGGAATTAAAAATGAAAACACTGAGGAAGGTTTCACAGATAACTGAGATTTTTACTTCTACTGTTGTTCCCTTACAAAAATGAAATACACATTAGAGATAAGACACACACAGAGTACAAAACTGAAACTTGTGATACATCCCTTTTTTTTTCCCCAGAAGAACTTAGTACAGCAAGAGAATATAGTTCAGCTAGCATTGCTCATCCAGATCTCCAGGCCGTGCCACATGTGTCAATAGGGAGATACAATTTGCTATGTGCTTGCATTTCATGCCCTGAAAATGAGACCTAACTAGGGTGTTGCATATTAAATCAAACCAATTAAAAAGGGTAAATAAAGTTTTCAGAAGCTTTGTGTTTGTAGAAACTTCAGTGAAAGCAAGAACAGTCTCTTTGACTGTATGTTTTAAAATTTTTAAATCATCTCCTTTCCTTCATGACCAGTCAGATTTTTTTCCAACAGAACTGACCTCAGTTGACATCATGCCATGTACTGACTGACCTTTCCTCAAGATTTATACAGCTAACTGAAAATTTTAGGGGGAATGGGTGTGCATGCAAAGCCCGGCTTGAATAAAGGGCCAATAACACCCCCAAAATACTGCATTCAAACTACCAGCAATACATAGTTCACTAACAACATCCTTAGCAAGCCATTCAATTGAAATTCCAAGCATGCAGTTATAAAGGTATGGGCAAGAAGTATTCCTAAGCCTGATGTTACTGCTGTGTTATTAGAGTGGTCATCTGGAGGCAAGAAAAAAAAAAACAGCTATTCCTACCACCTTAGCCAGAACCGGACACGCTAATCTCACCTGCTTTTTTCGCCCCAGAAACAAAACCCCAGATAGATTTCATATCATTTTCAAGCTTCAAAGATGGACAGATTTGTTTCTTCTTCTCTCCATATAAAAGAAAGAGTAACTTTATGAGTAAGAGTGCCTAATAAAAACTATCACAGGTATAAACACCTTTAATATAAGTTATTGTTGTACAGGCCAGTTTTAATCTACCAGTAGTGCCTGAAATGGCGGTTATAATAGCTTTCATTAAAACATCTAATTTCATGGTTGTGGTTATATTATTATATCCCAGCTTGGAAATGCTCTTTAGAACAGCACATGTACCGTAGTATACCATCTACATTGCCTGTAGAAACAAAACTTTAATAGTTTCAACAGTTATCACCATGCTTGTGTTACTGCTAGGTTTTCATCAACCACGTGTTAGAAAACTAGAAAATTTTCTTCCCCAGAGATCTCAAAGTACATTTAATTTTACGCACATACAACTTCACTTCAACAAACACTGAGGTAACTCCTGTGGACACTGGCTAAGTACATAATTTACACATAGCATTTTAACCAGTGGAGAAAAAAAATTGGAAAATTATAACCTTGGAGTTCATTTATTGTGGCAATCCATCTCACTGAGGTACGCCAAAGAACAAGGCGCTCTTGCTGCCATTACCACACAGATCTTCCCTGTTCTATCTTTATCATCCACTGCAGAAAATGGTACCAATACAAGCCTCCACATGGATGAGATTTCTGGATGTCTGGCCCACCACCTCAGAACTGCTTTCTCTCTCCCACCACCCCAGAAAGTCAGGAGAGAGCCCACAGCAACACAACAGTCCCATAAGCACTTTACACGGACAGAGGCAGCACAACAGCCCTTACTCTACCACCAGCATCTCAGTGCCATCCCCTCACAGTGCAAACATGGACCGGGCAAGGGCAGTTCATTTTTTTTTTTGTTCTTCCCCTTTTTTCTTTTCTTTTCTTTTTTTTTTTTTTTTTTTTTTCCTGACAGCAATGCCCACTAAAAGTGTTCCTGGAACTACAGTGTAAGTTCCTGCCTTACGCTGAAGATGTAACGGTTCTGTGGCTCTGAAGCCACTGACATGCTGGATCTGAGCAGGAAGGACGCATGCATGGCCAAGACATGACTCTTGGAAAGGCAGACTCAGCAGCTAACAGTCAATTAGCTTTCAAGAAACATCAATCCTAAAATTTTGGTAGCCTCCAACTATTAGACTACATGCAAAGGTATGGCTCCTTTTTAATGCATCCACATAGTTCTGTTACACAAAATGAGAGGCATAAGAGTCAGGGTGCAGAAGATCATCTGAATGTTGCCATTTTAGTTATCTTATTCTCACTTTGGTGTTAAAAATCTGCAGTCCCACCCAGCAATCTTATCCTGCTATGTAAATCTTTTTAAACAAAATGCCTTATTCAAAGATTACTATTGTTAGCCGATATCAAATCAGTGTAGCAGTTCGCCATCGGCGTATCTTGATCTAATTATGTTCTGGAAAGAATCGAAACAGATCTAAAGAAAATTCAGATAATAGAACAGGCAAAACAAGAAAGGGAAAGGAGGAGCATAAACAAAAGATAAAAGAAGAACAGAGAATAAAGGGTAAAGCTTTGAGATACAAAAAATAGGATTAGGTGATACTGAAATTGTGGGGGGTATGCGCAGAGACATCCCATAAAGAAGAGGAAGACCAGGGATTAAAAATGTTACCATCATCTAACGTATTCTATGAAATTAGATGTCATTCTCTGAGATGTGAAAATGGTATGCTTTGGAGTAGAAGTCAAACATGTCTGACCTGAAATCTGTAAGCAACCAGTGTCCACTTGTACTCTCTCAACGGATTTCAGATACAGTCAATGGGGGCAAAACTTCACCCTCCCATGGATCTGCCTACGACCCGCAGATCTGTGTAACATTTAGCAACACATCGGAATTTAACCACTGCCATAACGCTCACAAATAGACCAAAAAATTCCAAGGATACTTCCAGGATGTGAAACATATCTTGTTTAATTTGGATGATTCTCTGTGGAGTTCTTTGTTATTTTTAGTACACAGCAGTATTAAAAAGCCTGCAGGCTCTCAGAAATTGTATTACAATTCCTTTTTTTTTCAAGATGAAGGGAATAAGAGTCTCTTCAGATTTTTTTTATTGTTTTTTTTTATAAAGTTACACCGATTACAGACCTTACTTTTTCCATGTCCTATCCCATGATGCAACTTTCCTCAATGTTCTCAGGATCCCAAGAATTAATAAAGAATTCTGTAAATATAGCAAAATGAATTATAAAGATTTTGCTACACTTCTCAGTAAAAATTCTTTCCTCGGGGGAAAAAAAAAAAAATCCAGAAGAGGAATATTTTTCCTGTCTTTAAGTACACACTTAGAATCCTTTAGTGCTGGAATTAGAAGGGATGTGTGAATACTAGTAGTGTCAAAATACAAAGGATACTGCATGAAAAACCACACCTTTGTAAAGGGAAACAACTCATTGTAATTTGCACCTCTTTTGCAAGCATACCCCTTGACAAATAGATCATGGCAAAGAAACTCATCCAAGATAAAAAATATATCAAATTCACCCTACAAATTGTAGGTAGACAACCATATAGATGCAATTCTCAAGTCATAAGGCATGGTTTAGTTCTCCCACATTAATATCAAGCTCTTAATAATGACACATAAAAGCACCTTCAGAATAATTTTTCTCAGTGGGAACCCTTACATTGACCTATAGAACACCCGTGTGTCAGGCGCTTTAAAAAGCATCAAGGCAATTCTGATCCACTGACTTGATAACCCAGATGTTTCTCCCTGTGGATTTCACTTATGTAAGCTGCCACCACTGAAAACAGACAACTACACTGGGATTTCAGAGGAAGGAACCCAGCCTTTCAGGCAGATAAAGGTTGGTTTCAGTTTGAGACAGAAGCCAACAATATTATGGGGCCTAATCAAAGATTTTTTTCACTACTTTTTACAGTCATTTTCTCTGTACTTCTGGCACCATCTTTTTTAGGAAGACCAATTGTCTCATTTTTAAAATGTATCCATTTGCGATGGCCACCAGATGAAGGGATCTCTTTAAATCACTCTGCCTGGGGAGAATGTGAACATGTGCATTACAGTTAGAGCCTTAATTTCTCCCATGCTGAAAAACCACTTACAAACATCAATGAGGGGAAAAATTTTGAGACAGTTATATTCAAGACATGCTGTTTACAAAGTGCTCTGTATTCTGAAGTTACTGACTTACAATTATTCAAAAAATTAATTTTTTTTTTGAGTATCTGAGAAATTAAGAATAACAGACTTACTTGTTGATTGATAACCTCTCAGAAAATAAAGGTTTCAGACAAGAATCACCTGAACACCAAACACCACTATTATAGTTACCAATGTCTTTTCTTAAAAAAAAAAAAAAAAAAAAAAAAAAAAAAGGGTCATTTACTAGGTTACAAATACAAGCAACTGTTGCATCATCTTACAGTACTGGAATTGCTGCTAAGTATCAGGGAATGGTAATAGGTTAGATAAAGGTTCTCTAAAAGAGAAAGCACCAGAACCAGCAGAAAGGTGGGGCTGGTCAGCCCTTCATTTGAATGTAAATGTAATTATGAGGCAGGCAGTTAGGCTGACGTCAGACAAGATCTTGGTAAACCATTACCGCCAGCACCTGGTAACACAGTTGATAATAAAAGAGGATGAAGTAGAAGAATCCAAGCAGAGTGGCATTATTAGAGAAAATCAAACACAATTATTTTTAAGCAGCAAAAGAAAATACAGAAGAACAAGATGTTGTGACAGCGTATTTACAACCTGTGACAATCATGTACGTGAGCTCTCTCTTGGATAAAGAGAACAGCATGTATCCAGGATCTGCAAGGGGGAACAACAACCTGCCAGTGCAGAACTTTGTGTCTACTCCACCCTATTCAGATTACATGGGATATCATCCTGTGCCAACTCTGGACACCCATGGACAGCCTGCGGGAACCTGGGGATCTCCCTATGGCCCACAGAGGGAGGACTGGAACGCTTACGGCCCAGGACCTTCCAGCACGGTTGCTGCTGCACAGCTCAATGGCTCGTCTCCTGGACAGGTCTCCTACAGTTCTGCTGATTACAGCTCCCTCCATCCTGCTGGATCTGGGGGGTTACCTCCTGTAGATACAATTAATACACAGCAAATCTCTCCCAACAGCCAACGGCACAGCTCTTACGAATGGATGAGGAAAACGGTGCAAGCTAACACTACTGGTAAGCGTATATTCAACTTTCAACCTGAGAAAGCATCTTCTGCTATCACTGATCTTATAAATAATTAACTTTACTTAAAGCACATAGGTTGGTGGGGCATTTATGACATTTATTTAACCTACTGCTGTTTAATGCAGTTTTAACTAAACTTGCAGTAGTTTCACTTTCGTCCCATAAAGGCTTTATAGGGTTACTATAGTGGAATGACTGTTGTGTTTAGATATGGCTACATCTCACTCAAGTCCAGGAATCTTTGTTGTAAAGCATTTTGGATGAAAAACATGATACTCTTGATAATGCTATGGCACAATGAATGCAGCAAAATTTAACAGATATAGACAAAAACACTAGATAATGATTTTGATAAAAGGTAAATACCAATATAAAATCAGGTTGCTCTTTTTAAATCTTTACAGACTTTTCAATACTTTTAAAGAAAATTATTTGCTCTGATCCAACTGTAGTGATTATGCAATCTTTTGCTGTTGTTTCTGTGTCTTTTATTTTTTTTCTATCTAGATTTATTAGGTGAGAAGACATTCTTCCTAGAGAAGTAATCTGACTTAAATGATCAGCTCAGACTATTTAGTTTGCAGACCACATATCTCAGTCCTTTGCATTTAGTTTCAGATTGGTTTTACATATTTCTCTCACGTATCAGAATTTTCCAGCTTGCCATAAGTACACAATTAAAAATCACTTTCTTGCAAATGTCAGACATTGATGTGCCTGTTTTTGTTACAAGCTGCATATGCCAGATGAACCTTTCGGTGTATATTCCCAAGGTGTAAATTGGGTGTAGCAAGGTTTGCTAGATCTATTGTTAAGGTTAAAAGTAGTAAGTGTGTGTTAGAGAGCATCAAAGAAAATGCTCTGAAGAAAGAAGAGCAATTACAATTGAAGCAATCTTAGAAGACACAGAAAATCAGCACTGCTGCTTGAGACACAATCCTCCTTCAAATGGTTATTACTCAAGAGAAAAAATAGTCTGGTAATTGTTTCTTAGTTATAAAGCAGATACACACTGTTTTCCCACTGTTACTAAATAAAAACTACCTAGTGAACATTAAGATATCAAAATGCCATCCTTCCACTTGGAGCCTCGACAAAGGCCTTCAAAGCCAGGCAGATTTATAGTCTGTTTTTCCCCCCCTTATGTATACTCATGTAAATCAGCAGCAACTTCATTAACATCATTGGAGATTTCCAGGTGTAGAAGTGATGCAAGACTTAAGTGTAGACCAAATTCAATTGAGGCTACTGAATGTCAATGAGGCAACCCCTCTCTCTGTCACGTTATCACTGAATTTTAAACATTACCATTCTTAAAGAATAAAACAGACTTAAAAATCTAAATCCCAGTTTTACACTTACTGCACAGACATGGAAGACCCTGAAAGATTTCTCACATGCTTGCTCAGCTTCATAAAATATATGTGCGATTCAGAAAAGCAGATATGCGCTCAAATTCATCTCTAGTCTGAAAAGCACTTACGCAGAATTCACACACATGTCAAAATACTTTATGAACAATACTGGACAGGTGAAACGGGGTCTGTCAATAGACACATGTCCTGAGGCTGTGAATTCCTAGAGCCCAGTCCTTTGAAGTGTTAAAAACAGCTCAGGACTTCACAGAATTGGGCTTGAGACATCAACCCAGCTTAAGAAAAGGCTTTGGGAGAGTAAAGCACAAATGTGGTATTTTGCAAAACAAGAAAAGTACTGAATAGATTTGGCTTTTCATTGGTGTTTTAGAAATAACGTTAACTGTAAAAGCTGGAAGATTTTAATACTGACACATAAAAAGTTGTGAAAATTAAAATTCAAACAAATAACGACAAGGGTAGAATTATCCGTATAATAGCTACATATTAAATTAGCAATGCTTTCTCTGGAAGATAATGTAAGAAAATTTACTTGATGCCATTATAACCACTTTTTGTATCAGTCTTGCTCTCTGTTTTCCTTATTGCCATAATATTATTCATGCTATCAAAGTAGCTACTGGCTCCTCCCCTTCAATATTATCACTGCTTAAATACAGTTCATTGCTCCAAAATTTCTGAATTACAGCCCTAAACTTTACAAATATATTTACATACAAAAACATGTGTACGTCCTTAACTTCACTAGTGGTGTGTACTCACAACAGTGTAAGTGAGCAGCATGGAATAACAGAAGTCAAAACACATCTGATTAAATGAGGGAGACTACCGAAATACTGTCCTAAAGACAATGGGCATTATTTTGGGGGAGGGGATATTAATGGTGCTTTTTCCCCCCTCTATTTAGATTCTATTAAATACACTACATTCTGATTCAATACTCATATTTAGCATTTCATACAAAAAATTAAATTGCAGGAAAAGTGAAACGAAATTTTACCTGTCCGAGTCAATTCTCAGGATAAAATAACATCACAAAGACTGAAGTACTATGTCCTTTCAACAGATAAAATTTTACTTGAAATTATATATCCTCTTACTAAAAGACCATAAGTTTATATTCAAAACCAAAACTTTTTTTATTTCAAATACACAGACATTGCAAACATATGAGGCAATAAGAAATTTTAAAAAAACAAACACTGAAAGTGGGCTTGGTAAAGATATCTTCCCAAACAGGCTGAGCAAAAGAACATGAGTTAAAGAACATCTACTATATTCCTTACAGTCTGATCCTGTTTTTACTAAAAATCAATGACAAAATGCCCTATCAGCTTCAGCCTTGTAAGAGCAGAACTTCAGAGCAGTTAATTTCTAAAAACTGTGTAATCAACAGTGTAAAATGTGTGTTTAATGAGAGTGAGCCTTCAAAGCATGAAACTTACTGAAAAGAAGGTATCTAAACAAGAGCCCAGAAAGGAGATTTTACATCTTTTAAAACTTCATATGAAACTTCATCTGGCAGTGACTCTTCTCAGAAAGAGAATGAACTATAAGGGGACTAAACAAAAGGACAACATTATTTTTATATTTTGAAAGACCAGACTCATCTTTTTTAAAAAACCCAAACTATAGTCAACACATTTTATGTCTTTGTTTAAATAAGCAGTGATGTACAAGAAAATCACATTACATCACAGCAGAAACACAGCCAGAAAGCAAAACAGAAAAGCAGGAAAAAAGGCCAGGCCTCTGCTCTGATGCTAATTTATTTTTCTTTGTAAACTAGTTGTGACATCTATTTTCCACTGGCCTACATTGTCTGAGGTTTTGAGGCCTATCTGTCATATTGAGGCAACAGACCCTTTTAACACTTCACTTTGCTTTGATATGCAGCCTTGTCTCTTCCTTCTCCCTCTTTTCTTCAGGAGTTATATTGCCGGAAAGGGTGATGATTTTCACAGCAAATAAAGAGGCCTTCTCCTAGCTTTATTGTCTTCAGAAGAAATGCTCTGTGAATTTTATGACCAAGGGGAATGGGGAAAACTACTCCTTTTCTCCACCCCTTCAAATCATGGTTATATTTGCTGATTATAGTGAAGCCGGAATAACCCTGTTGAATTTTAACTTTTTTCAAAGATTACCTTCTAAGTCTTCAGTTTACAAGGAACCCGAATATCTGTACTATTGTTAACATTATAACTATCACTTAAAGCAAATATTTCAAAGCCAACAATTTGTACCTTGAAAAAAAGTAAACTTAGTTTGATGATTGTTTTAGTCCTGCAAATTTAGGCAGGAAAACCTTGTATGCTAGAAGTCAGTGACATAGGATTTGGGAAAACATCTTTAATTATGGGTATCTCAAAATGTCTTAAGCTATGTCTACCTCTAGCTTTCAGATAAAAAAATCATAATCTATCCTCAGTGTTGGTCAAAATTAAAGAGAACTGAGGAAAAAATATTCCTTCATCTATTTCTGCCCTTTTTTCCTCTGCTAAGATGAAAGAGTCTGACATTTGTTTAGGGCTTGTAAATTCCAAACCAATTGGCTTGTGTTTCTGAATGTGAAAGGGGTTCTTGATAAGATCTCCTTGTTGCTCCTTTGTGTGGCGTGTGCTCCATCTTAACACCTCAATGGATTTTAGGGAACCACTTTAAAGGAGTCTTTGTCCTACAGTTTGTCCCAGAAAACTCACATCAAAAAAACCTGGGAAGATCAGAAGAAAAAGGAAAACTATCTAGTTGTCTGCTGAAAGTGCAAAGGAGAACAAATAAGTTGAAAAGTATTCTCTGTATTATTATTACATGGAGTTGTTTAAAAAAGTCTATGAAATGAGAAATATCTTCTAAACATCTCATAATGCTTCTCTTAACAGTATTTATCCAATATATCTAAGACTATTTCTTTTATACATTAGAGAGAGGATGATACTGAAATCCTTTTACAAGTATTTTATTGCCTCATCTTACAAATTGCTAACTGCCTTCAGCTGGAAAGGGAAGCTCAGCACACAGAGTACCCCCAGTAATATCTCTACAGGCACTCAGCATCTTGCAAGAGTGGACCTTTTTGAAAAAATAAATTAAAATTATTATTGAACCTATAAGCATGTCCTATGGCCACACAGGAAAGCAAAAGCATTTCTAGTAGGACATTTCTTTGTGTTAGAGAGGTGATCTTTAAAAACTCAAATAAAGAATCAGGACACGGTACCACTAAACAAATTGTGACTGAACTTCAGTCTTAAAATCCTGTGTATTCATGCCTCTGCATACACAGAAGTCACTTCAGTGAGCACTGAATTGAACCCCCCTTTGAGATCAAATGTAGCCAGCACCAATTATGTACAGTTATGGATTACTGAAGTAGCTTCAGGGCATTTTTCACATAAGAGCTTTACATTTAAATGTATGTTTACAGAGAGAGGGAGATAAAGAGGGAAAGACACTTATGATAACCAATACTCACTTATTCACCCTGCACCTCATATTCCTTCTCTATAACACAGAAACAATCTCATGCAAATACTCTGTAGTTTAATTAATGTCTGTAAAATGTTTGAGATGTTTGAAAGAAAGATTCTATAGAAAATAAGATTCAACATATTAATAATATTTCTTTCTTAAACAGGTAAAACAAGAACAAAAGAAAAGTACCGAGTTGTTTACACAGATCATCAGAGACTAGAATTAGAGAAGGAATTTCACTGCAACAGATACATTACAATAAGGAGAAAGTCAGAACTTGCAGCAAACCTGGGACTATCTGAAAGACAGGTACACAGAGACTATCCACCCTTCGTACGCAGACACTGCTACTGCCAGGGGACGCGAGCAGCGTTCACGTCCTGGATCTAAAAGTAGTGTGAAGGCACCCATGATATAGTTTCTGAATACATTTGACACACAGAGAATACACTACACAAATGCAAATTAATAAATAGGCTACTTTGACAGAAACTTCCAATTGTAGGTCACTAAACTCAATTACAGTAGAAAAAGTACTTATTTTTTTATGCATAACAGATTGCTAGACAGCTAGAATTTAAACAATTCATCTTAACATTATCTTAGCTATGTTCTCAATAGTTATGACATTCACCATTCTATTTCTTCTGCAATCACACAAAAATGGTGGCCAGAAAAAATCCAAAGCATTGGATACGTTTCAGCGGTAAGCCAGGAAAATGAAAACTCAGAATTTAAGGAGCAAACGAGATACCTATATTTTTTTGTTACTAGCTTATTGCCGCTATTTCCACAATCCACGTTCTTCCTCAGTTAGATTTCAGCACATTTTAAGGAGTATTTACAGCCTCTGATTTCCAAGACAGGATTTCTTTTTGCTATTATGTTCACAGGTACTACACCTATAGTAGTATTTCATGCACACTATATGCATGACGCTTAAAGGTATAAAACTTGGTGACAAATTTTTATGCCTATTATCCATATATATGTAGCCAAGACTCCCCATTCTGGAAATTTTCAAGTGCATACTTAGATCCATTGCTTCTTTGGAAAGCTCTGCATTCATTCATATCAAGTATATATTTAAGTTCTGTCCTGAATAAAGATAGTGTCTTGAGCAGAGGCCTAGATATCTTACATGTGTTCATACAAAGACTAGAGGAATACAGGATAAAGAATTTCCTAAAATCACTGTGTTGGAGAGCACTCTTACAAAGCACAGCTCTGCAGTCTGCAAATATAGTAACTGCTGAATCCAACCCTCCTTATACAACAGAATTGCAATGGTTCTGCTACAACTGGGAGAACGAGGGAAGATTTTGCAATACTGAATAAAGCATCTCATAACTTAGAAACAAGATTTATTGCCCCCAGGTAAATTTAAACAAGAGATCTTTCCTTTTAGAATTTTACAAAATTTTGTTCATTCTGAATGTACATGTTCAATTCTTTAAAATATTCTCCTCTTCTAGTGGCCTCCTCTGCTTCTGCATTAAGGCTATGAAAGAACATGGAATAGGGAGGGACCAAGTGAGGCTGGAAGTGTAAGGATGCATAGATAACCAATGGTATTTTAGGATCAGGCACTGGATTTTTATAAATATATTGAAGTGCAGTGATGTTCAGTCCCAGACCCAAACAGTACACAGATTGCAGCCCTCAGACTGTAAGTGGTCCCAGAAAGTAACAACAAAAACCACATCTACCATTCATAGAATCATGGAGCGGTTTGGGTTGGGGGGGACCTTAAAGCCCCCCCAGTGCCACCCCCTGCCCCGGGCAGGGACCCCTTCCCCCAGCCCAGGGGGCTCCCAGCCCCGTCCAACCTGGCCTTGAACCCTTCCAGGGAGGGGGCAGCCACAGCTGCTCTGGGCACCCTGGGCCAGCGCCTCACCCCCCGCACAGGGAACAATTTCTGCCTTACATCTCATCTAAGTCTGCCCTCGGTCAGTTTAAAACCATCACCCCTCCTCCTATCCCCACCCCCTGACCCAGAGTCCCTCCCCACCTCTCCTGTCCCCCCTTTAAGCCCTGGGAGGCCGCTCGAAGGGCTCCCCGGAGCCTTCTCTTCTCCAGGCTGAACCTCCCCAACTCTCTCAGCCCGGCCCCCCAGGGGAGCTGCTCCAGCCCCCCCAGCATCTCCGTGGCCTCCTCTGGCCCCGCTCGAGCAGCTCCGTGTCCTTCTGCTGTTGGGGGCCCCCGAGCTGGCCCCAGCACTGCAGGGGGGTCTCCCCAGAGCAGAGCAGAGGGGGAGAATCCCCTCCCTGGCCCTGCTGCCCCCCCTGCTCTGGCTGCAGCCCAGGGCACGGGTGGGTTCTGGGCTCACGGTCATTTTCCCCCCACCAACCCCCCCAGCCCCTCTCCTTGGGGCTGCTCTCCAGCCGCTCCTCGAGGGCCCAGCCTGGGTTTGTGCTGGGGATTGCCCCGACCCACGGGCAGGACCTTGCCCTTGGCCTTGCTGAACCCCAGGAGGTTTGCCCGGCCCCCCCTCTCCAGCCTGCCCAGGTCCCTCGGGATACCATCCCTGCCCTCAGCGTGTCACCCACCACACAGCTCGGGGTCGTGGGTGAATTTGCTGAGGGTGCCCTCAATCCCACTGTCCATGTTGCTGACAAAGACATTAAACGGATCCGGCCCCAACCCTGACCCCTGAGGAACAGCACTTGTCACTGCTCTCCACTGGGACATCGAGCCATTGACCACAACGCTCTGAGTGTGACCATCCAGCCAATTCCTTATCCACCCGTGTTCCATCCACCAAACTCACATCTCTCCAATTTAGAGACACTGTTGTGCAGGACAGTGTCAGATGCTTTGCATAAGTCCAGGTAGATGACATCAGTTGCTCTTGTTATCCACCAGCACCACATCTATTGATGGACTGAAGTTTGTTATACAGTAGGATACAGCTGCATTGGAAAATTTTCAGAAAACTGCAATTACAAAAGATTCAAAACTTCTACCTCAATGTTGTGCAAGCTGCCTAATTTAGAACACAGACATGCCTGAAGTGACCAATGATTCTGCATAAAATCAGCAGCTTCCTTTCACATAGCTGTTGCTCTTAAAGCCATCCAATTTTTGACTGGTAAATTCCCTTCAAATATGTAGACAGAATCTGCATTTCTACAGGACTCATGACAAAGCTAAATGCTTCTTACTGTCATTATCAGTAAGATAATAAAAAAATAACTAGAAAATAATAATGAGATTTTTAATACAAAGGAATGGTACAACTTTCTATATCATATTGTATCAAATACACCTTAAAGGATATAAGAAAAACTGTAAAGTAAAAACTTAAAATTAATGATAAGGAAGTCTGTGTTTTCTACTCATTCACACTTTGACATTAGGAAAGAAAATACAGATACTTAAACTAAAAGTAGATTTCAAACAGATAGGAGTCTTTACATATGCACAATTATCCTGGGAAAGTCACTGTCATTAAGTAATGCTGATACTTTTATTTATAGACGCGACATAGTAAATATTTATCTGTAAAATACATATATAAATATATAATCTAGTAACAAAAAAAAATCAAGACTTTTAAAATACAGACTATACATACACATAAAAATCACTCACAATATAAATTAAGAAAAATAACACTCACTAATTGAGTTTGAATTAATCTGTAACATAGACGATAAAGAAATTTTCAAAATTATTCCATAATTACATCATCTTAAAGTATGACACACCCCATTGTCAAGGCTTAGATGATGAACCTGGTGGACCCTGAGTCTAAATGAATAACTTGATTGCTGTGTTCCTAAATATAACAGAGCAAGTTCACTTTACAGCAGGTCTAAGAAAATAATTTAATTTTCTATTGATTATGATGCAGAAGATGAATATACAGTAGCTAAAAAATTTTTCACTGCACAAATGCAATGTTTTGTTTTGTGTTTTTTTGGGTTTGGGGTTTAAGTTTATTTTGTTGTTGTTGTTTGGTGTTTAATTTTTTTTTGTGGGTTTTTTTGTTTGGCTTTTTTTTTAATGTTTTTTTATAATTTTTAAAAATATATCTATATTTTCAATGCTATTATTACTGGAAAAAGTTGACCACTACTTTGAATTAATCAGATATCATTCATAACATCACAGGTGAAAATCTGGTTCCAGAATCGACGAGCAAAAGAAAGAAAAATGATCAAGAAGAAAATATCTCAGTTTGATGGCAGCGGGGGCTCAGCTCAGAGTGACTCTGGCTCACTCAGTCCAAATGAAATATCTAGTTCTCTGTTCCCACCGCCACATGGAATAAATGGATTACAGCCTAATGACATTCATCAAGTCATAGTTTCAGAATGAACAGAGGGGAAAAAAAAAAAAGGAAAAAAAAAAAAAAAAAAGCAAGAATGGATTTCACCACCATCGCCCCCAGCCCTTGAAAACTCCACTGTGCAAAGGACCATTCTCATTTACCTGTCTCCAGAGTGCTGATTTCTAAGTACAGGATCTGGGACTATTATAAAAATATTTTAATTATTACAGAAATCTCAGGGAACTTGCACTGCTAAGATTCATCACTCAAAATCTTTAAGTAGGAGCTAATTTGCTTCAGACACTGACACAAAGAATGATACAATTGAAGATTCAGGTAAATGTAGTTCTAGTCTGATCATATATATACACAGAAAACTAAGTGAACTGATTATAAAATAGAGTATTATTGCATAAAATATAAGATGCTGGGTGTATTTGGTTTGTTACATTTTATATAATTAGAGTAAACCGTAGATGTTAATAAATATTCACACTTAAGTGTACTGAAAAGAATGGTACTTTTTGAACAAGAAAAACATTGAAAACAATTTTAAACACGCAAGAAACATAACAATGTTGCTATTCCAACATATTGCATTTAATTAAATAAACCAAATCTTTGCCCTATGTAACTGTATTCAAGCATGCCAATCTGCTAAGTGATAGTTAGAGATATAATATCATACCAAGCCTGTCAAGATTTGTTCAATTTTAAGAAACACGGCAATTTGTCATGCACATTAGTAAATGCCAAATAGTTTGGAAGATGTAAGTATTACTTCAATCTTCAACAAATGCACATATTATTGCTCAAAAATGTGAGCACCAATGTAATGGAAACAGAACTGTTACTTCCAGCAAACCACCAAAAAGCAAATAAAGAATTTGTTTAATATCTCTAAACCTTTTAAGTGAATTAGTAGCAGTCTTGAGCCACTGGTTTTATATGTGACGCTCATTTTGGGCTAAAGGTAAAAAATATCTCAAAGTAGCTGTATTTCGAAGCTGTTAGCAAGCAGCTTAGCATTCATGAAGTCACAGCAAGTGTGTAACAAAATAAGTGTGCACTCCTGCACGAGCACAAATTAAGGATAAACATGCTCACGGTGTGGTTAGCTTTAATTATTAGTCCGTGTTGGCAGATGAGAAGGTAGCAGTGGTATGTAAAAGACAACTGATGAGTCTGGAAAAAGTAGAAAGAAAACCCAAAGCACTAAAAAAAAATCTCCAAACCCTTCAGTAGCACTACTCATTGGAATTTCATGCTATGAGCTTTCTGATAGCATACAAGTAAGTGCCCTATTGGAAAAAAAAATAATATTTCTGAAAAGGTCATCAGGAACAAAGGTAATAAAGAGGGAAAATAGAAGAAAACAGAAAACACCATTAGCCAGCATATGAAAGGCCATGCATAGCTTATTTCAGCAGCATCAGACTCCTGGTCTCAGAAACAGCAGATCAAATTCTGCTTTTCTTAGTGTCAACAAGCATTGATAGTGCACTGAATAACATGGACAGAACTTGTCAAAGCACTCATTAGCTGCATTCAATAAATTACATACATTTGAAGATGTGCCTCACTTTCCCAATTATTTAAAAATAACTCTGTTAGAGTAACTCCATGAAATTAATTCCATTAGGAGTTACAAGTTTAGCACTCTTCAAAAAAAAAAAAGTATTATATAATTGTAGGCATAAATGTCTCAAGTTAAACTAGGAACAAAATCTGTAACACAGGGTAAGATCTTACTGACTGTTAGTATTTTGTGTGTGGTTCTCTAATATATTTCTAATAATCTCCATATGGTTAAAGTAAAAGGGCATATCTTAATGCAAACAACTGTAAACAGAAAATCTTGTGTATATACATATTTACAAAACTCAACCCTATGAGAAATTGAGACATCTGCGTGGCTTTAATTCAACATCTTCTAAAACTGCTCAGTGATTGTAATGTTACGTGACCACATGGACATTTTAGAAGACAGAGCAGCATGTTACAGAACATGCACACAAACAGATCTACTGTTTAAATCACTAGCACTATACATATTAGCAGACAGCAAGACACATACATACTGCTCTGCTCTGCTTTTCATTCAAAGAGATTCATACGTTTGCTCAGATTTGGGTGAGAAAATAGATTTGGGTGAGAAGATTTTCCCAGTTCCACCAGTCCCTTTACCTGTGTTGTCCTTTTATACATGAACAATGTAGAAGAAAAAATAATATCTGAAGAAACTCATAAAGAAAGAAGCCATAATACTTCAGACATACAAGAAAAAAGGGCAGAGGACCTTCACCTTGCTACCCAAATCTCAAAGCATCAGAAAGCCCACCGCTATGAAAAAGCACGCAACTGCTTTTGTGAAGGTTACCAGTGACACAGAAATGGAGAGAGGAAACTTTTTTCTAGTTTCCAGATTTCTTTTTCTGTGACTGCTTTTCAATTCAACATGGAAGAATGGTGAGAGGTATAAGATACAACACATCATTTATTATATTTGTATACTAGAAGTGCATGGCTTAATTTCTCTTCTAATTTATGTCAGAATTTAAATAAAAAACGTACATGGTTATTTACCATTCAACACATTCAAAATTATCATCTTGCAGTTTCTAAATAAGCTCCAATCTACCTTTTTGAATTGGCAGCCAGCCAGGAAACACCACACTGTTCAGGGGCAGAAGAGCCACTGAAGCCATTGCTTGTACTTCAGAACAACCACTGCTCATAAAGGAAACATTTTACATTTTAAACAAGAGTGTTTTAGATGTCAAATGGGAGTTTGAATGGGATACAAAGCACCTCCAATGACATGTTTAAAATCAGTCTTGTCAATAAAAAGTGTATTCCTTTTTCATAATCTTCACCCTGAATTTTTTTCATCAGGTCTATTTTAAATGTATTCCAAGCATACAGTAATAAATGTTTGGGGGAGACACTCTCTTTCATGCACTAGATAATGATCTCTATGCCCAAAAACTGTATCAGATGGTCTTCTCTGACTACAGCTAAATCAGGTAAGAAGTTATACCCCCCTATCTTGTACCATGCATAACAACCCCCAGCTAGATCATAATGCTCCTTTAAATCCAAGTGTAGTGGCACAGCTGTTTCTCAAAATAATCTAAGGGAAAAGAACCCACTATTAAATTTTTCTAGATAAATTGGTATCATTTTTAGTAAACTTGATTACAGAACAATTCAATATGCAGTCATATTACCAGATCAAGAGGATGGTAAGCAATAAAGAGGGGGAAAAGCAGCTGAAAGAAGAAAATTCTTACTCTGTCTCTGACAGCATTTGGACATTGTATCTGACTGTAGCCTACACCATTTTTTTGGCCAGAAAATTGTATTTTGCTTTGGGATGATGTTCAGAACTACATGCTGGCACATTTTAATGGCCTATTAAAGACTACATGACAGCCTAACAGGGGTCCATCCTATATTCATGTTCTGCCAAGATCAACATGGGAACACAAGGATCAGGATATGCAGTTGGGTGGAGGCAACACAGCCATTACAAAGTCCCTTCATCGTTATTATTTTCTGGGCAGCTGTGTTTGACCCTTCTACATTGCTTATGTAAAGGAAAAGCTTCAGAAGATGTGATCCAGCCCTTGTATTTAATTTTTGTATTTATGTGGGTGAGAAGAAACACTAAAGGCTATAAGTAACAGCTTCCAATATTTATCTTTCCTCTTTTGAAGACTTCTCCAGGGACTTTAATTAAAGTCTCCCTTAGCACCATTAGGCAATTAAAATAATAATAAATCAAACACGATCCTTCTCACCCAGTGGGTATCTTCCACAAGCTTTCTCAGTTTCCTGCCTTGTTCACTTTATGTAAATAGAAAACCATCACACTGTTTAAATTCAGCTGTTTGATTGGTATTTCGAGTTTGCAAAGTAGTGAGCCACTTTAACACCATGCTGATATCAAAAGAAAATTCTGCATCACACAACTGTCTAATTCCAGCAGCCAGCAAATCCCTCCTGACATTTATTTGAATCATCTTTATTCTCATGAGAATACTGTAGAGGTGCCAAAGCTCTGGGAACAATTGCCCTTCTCAGTTCCACTATCTCTAAATACTTAATCAAGAAGGAACACTTTACAACTAACTGCTCATGCTGAGTCTCAGTGTAGCAGCACACTGATTTGGCTTCATTAACTAACTTCTAAACGTTGAACTGTGGGAGAAAAGAAAAAAATTACAAATTTCTCTGTAGTTAGAGTAATGACAGATAGTTTAGACTAGAAATTGGAAAGGACTTTATTATAGGATGTTTTTAAAAAAATCATAACTTACAGAGAAGAGAGCATAACTTAAACCCCTAACTGGCTGCTTGTAGTAGTAATACAGGTCAAATAAAAACCTAGATTGGACTTGACAACCTCTTGAAACTAAAATTACTTTTGAAAACTAATCTACTTCTACATTAGGCAGAGCTGTACACCCCTGCACAAAGCCAAAAAACTTCTAGACATTGAAAAATACATGTATCACAAAAATAGTTTCATTAAACCTCTCACATCACTCTTGACTTGCCTTACTTCAACACATGAACACATCCAAACTTGCCTAATGAGTTCCACATTTCTATTTCTAAACAAAGGACTGTGAACTTGCAATGAGATGCTGGGCGCACCTGGAAAAGGAAAAAGAATTCTGCTAAATGCAATAATCAAACTCACAGAAATTACCAGGGTCTTTTTCTCATAATAAATTCCACAATATTAAAGAGGATCACCTATACATTGGATATAGTTTCCAGTCAAACGTTACGCTTTTATTTCCCAAAAAGGAAACGAGAAGGTAAGGCTAGCATTTGGGGTTTTGTTTCAAAAAAGCCTCAGGTACTTATTAAACAATCTTAAAATGTGTGGTTAATATTATTTTTAAAATAAAATATTATTTACAAAGGAACAATTTTTATTATTCCATGGATGTGTTAAACATAAATGATCCTACTGAAATTATCTGCAGCACGTGGTAGCATGCCGTTTGGCTAAAGGTTTCATAATTTGAGAATGAAAAACACTATCACAGACGAACAGCTCAAT